GTTGTACACCTTCCTGATAATTCTCTGGAAATACATATTATAAAATACTTTGTGTACTGTGTAATGTACAGTACCTGATTACAAGAGACAGTAAATACTAACGTAGGGCGCATTTGGGTGCATTGCCAGTTAACGAGTTTAAAACAATCGGTAAATTAATAAGCAATATTAACAAGAGGCATGGGCAGAGAGGTTTGTTAACTCATTAACCACCAGTACTCTACCAATGACAAGTAAAATTATCTGGCGTTAGACAGAGTAAATAGTAAAGTAGGCCGCATTTGTGCGCATTGCCCACTGATGGGTTAACAAGAAACATGGGCAGATAGGCTTGTTGAACTGCATGGCGTTAGACAGAGTAAATTTTTACGTGACAGGCTAAAAAACGTACGGACGTAAAATTGCACGCATGTAGAAAAAAGCTTGGCGTACGCCAACTAGAAAACTTATATACTTTATACAGCTCCTTCACTTTGTGTTTCTTTTGGAAATAAATGTACGGTATTTACTAATATAGCTACGGTTTCGGCTTATAGAAATGTACTGTATAAAACATCTTTTCGTATGTAGTAATTGTAAACGCTATAGACTTCCTATCGAGGTTCGGTCACTTGAGAGAGTATTTGCTAAAAGAGAAGCTCAATGACAATGTTTCCTCTGAAGTACAAATATTTATTGATTGCATGGTACAGTAGCTACATATAGTATGCTTTTCAAACAGTACTTTTTACATATAAGCGGCCTTCGATTCAAATGAACATTGTGTATTTTATGAACATTGTGTATTTGTGGCTAATTTATATGCATGTGCACCCCTACTAAGTTCAGTACCCGAGTACTTGTAATTGGAGACTAAGAAGATTTCAGCTTTAACTCATTAGCGTGTAATGCGTCCAAATGCAGTATGGATTATAACGGTCGGTAATCGGCCAAACAAAACCAGTCGGCAAAATACCCACCACCTCAGAATAAACCTTAATTGTTACACTGTCCAGCTTTTCCGCCTCATCACAGGAAGGGAAGTTTACACAATCTATGTACATGCTACTTAAATACAGTGTAGTATACTAAAATACAGACCTCCCCTTACTGTATATAAGGAGCAACCAGGAAACCCAATGTCAAGTTTACAAATTACACATGTACCATGTGGGGCATTGACATGTCACATGTGGAGATGTACCATATGCAAGCATTGACATGTCGAGATACAGTAGAATTGTAGTTGATCTCTCTTGTGTTTGGAGGGTTTTTGCAAGGTCCTACAGTTTTTCTCCAAAACAATCTTTCGGTAGCTATGATACTGTATGTGGTTTGGACAACATTTGGTAACTGGCAGCCACACATGTCCTGTAGGTTCAGTAAGTAGATTTTACTTGATATTCATGCAAGCTTGTGTTAGCTAGACAGTAGACACAGACAATGGTTTTATGTGTTCTCTAAAACTCAACTGCAGGCAGCAAATTGGTAATTTATACCTTTGAATGTATACATGCAGTTAAATGCAATTTAACTAAGTTAACAACAAAGAGCGCAGTTAGTGTGTTAGTTAGTATGGTCAGTGATTTCTGGCATACCAGCATGCGCATGGCGATAGTAGGTCAGCAGCTGTTAGGGTTTGAGCATGCGCAAACAACAGGCACACGCATTGTTCGGAAATCCTTGTAGGCTTGGGTGCTTATTATCGGAAAGTTTGTTTTTTTTGTTTTTATTTGTTATTTTTTTTTTTTACTTATTTATTTTTTTCCCACTGACCCAGTCAGTGTGACAGGTGCTTGGGCCTGGTGTGGGGGCTCATGGCTGGGTTGCAGGGAACTGCAAGCCATGAGAGTGGTATGTTTGTCTGGGGGCTGGCTTTGGAAGTGGAAGCCCCTGGATGACCCAGGCACCCATTATCCACAAGCGATACAGTTGTTAAATACAATTATGTATCAGTCAATTCCAGCAGTGCCCATCCCCCCGGGGTATTAGCCATTTCTGGGAAGACAATGGCTATGTTCCCCTATGATAATAATGTCAACCTTTGAAAGTATTGTCTTTACTTAAGGCAGGTTTCGTATGTAGCTGATGGTCGGCGATGCACTCATAGATCATTGTTAGTGATCATTGTCCATTGTCCATTGAAGGAGAAAACTATTTTATGTAGACAAAGGATTTTACTCATAAATGATCAAAGACAATGGTACTTTACAGCATTGCCAACCATTGGCGACATATGAAAACCAGGTTTACTCAACAAAATGTCTGTTGTCAAGTGATTTCAAACCACAAGATATTATTTCCCGAATATATTAATTCCGAGTTTTCCCAATGAATGAGTATCAAGCCATTTGCAAACAAATTCAATATCTTTTCTAGTGAATTCGAAATCTGCCAAATCACCCTTGATGGAAAACATCGAAATCCCCACCCTTGCGCTGAAAAATTTTGGCAATAGTCCCACCCCCCGGGATTATAGGAAAAGCTGCCAAGGCCGGGGGGTGGGGGGATGGGCACTGCTGCAATTGACTGATACATTATACAGTTAGTAGGACACAGTACTGTAGGTATAATTTCTGTATAATATGATGTATATATTGAATAGTATATAAAATCATTTATTGTCAGTCAAGAATTGAGAAACAAAACAGAGCATTACTTGAATTGTTTTATAAATCAGTTATCAGTTTAGAACTGACAAATTAAACAGTTTAATACTTTATATAAAAGTACACTCTTACCCGACAGGCAGCAGGGACTTTGACCTGTGATGTCTTTGCACTGGTCCTTCTGCTAACAGGACGGTTGTTCCCGCTCGTGGCTTCTTGTAATTTCTGATTAAGATCAGCCAAAATCTTTCTCTGCTCTTGATCTCTCCTTTGTAGATCTTCTCGTAGAACGCGGTTCTCGTTCACAAGCTCCTTATTTACACGGGCAACTTCTTCAAGTACAACAAGAACTTCATCATTGTGCGCCATATTCAAATGAGTTGATACAGTCTGTTGGTTCTCCGCCTCTATAAATAAACTATAAATTGTGCATATAAACAGACATGACCTTTGATATCAATATGTTAAGACTTCTGTGGCTTCTCTCCTCTCTCGATGACTCGATCTGAATATTGAATCACAACGGATTTTGGCGCGCAAATTCGCGCTAACCAAACAGCGTAATGCTCGGTGTTTCCACAATGGGAAAAAGAAAGTTATCTTCACAACAAACATAAAAATGATAAATATTCTATATATTTTGAGAGAATATTCCTTGCTGAGGGAAAGGAATCTTCAGCTTGCTTCGTATCATCAATGATTACATTAAAAATACAGAATAAATACGAATGAGTGAACTATATAGCAACAACGAAGTTCGAGGAATTTGACTTGAACCAAAGGAAGTCTCATGGCGGAATATTTGCACCTTGCAAATAGATACTTTTACCCCAGTATACTTACTTCTTGTCTTTACTTTTTTGAATGACTTAAATGATTACATTTATTGGCATTGTGACGATTTTTATGATAGTAACTACATTAATAAACAAATGATTTATGAAGAGAACGCTAGGAATGGTCTGAACCGACTGACAGACAATTGACTATTGAAGCACGGGGTTATTTGTCCGCCATTCCGAGCAACCGGACTACGAGTAATTTGCCGCTGTTACCCGCCAGAACTTAAAAAACATGGCGGTCGTTAAAACTCGGAAATCATTGTCTGTTTGCAATGCTGAAGGGTTTGCTGTTAGTAGTTTTAGTCAAGCTGATGCGCCTCAACGGTGCTTATCTGCATACCGTGCGAGTGAAACACCGCTTGCTGACAGTAGGCTATTCCAAAAGCGGCAATCCGAAGGCAAAGCAGATAGCATGGTTGCATTGGTTGCCTGTTCATCTCGACAAAAAGATATTGTTGAAGATATTGACGTACAAGCAAGCGGTCGAGGCTCTCGAAGTTTAGAGTCATTAAGAAGGAAACGGCTGAGACGTAATAAGAAGAAACGCGAAGCCATTAAAATGATGTCGAAATCTGAAAGAAAGACAAAGTATTCTTCCAGGGCTAAAAAGGAAGTTGAATCTGAAATATTGGCCAAAACAGAGAAGCGACATAGTGAATTGAAAGAACGCTGCATTAAGTACCAGACGCGATATGAAAAGGAAAAAGAAAAAAAACTGAAAAGCTACAGGTACTTAGTGTTTCATATTTATTTATGGTATTTATATTATAAACTTTTGTATTATTCAGTATAGTCATATAGGGTTCGAGATTAGAATTTCCCCCTAGTAGCATTAATATGGATTCCAGCACTTCAAAGTTGGTATCCAAACTCAAAAACTAGTATCCAAACGTCGTATCCATTGAACTGAGAACTTCAAAAGTTACATACATAGGACATTAACAGCTTGAAGTCTTTGATACTTTCAAAATTTAATAATTACAATGCATTTCACAATTAATAATTAATTTATATATTTAGGCTTGTATCATAAATTTGCAATTGCTGCCATACACATGTCTAAACTTCACCGGTGAAAACAATAATTGCCAAATTATCGAAAATATCGATATATCGCAACTGCGTAGTTTTGCATGTACAGTGTACAAGTACAGTACGTCATTGTGCAATCTGTGTTTTATTGTTAGCAATACCAGCACTACTAATAAGAAGGCCTCTGATTTAAGGTTAGCAATCAGCAATGCCAAACTGATTGCCGACCAATCACCATGTCAGAGTAGTAAAAATTGATTAACAAAAGCCAGCAAATTTTGCTGACCTGATTTTGTGCTAATTTAGGGCCTGTTTATATGATCCCGCCTAGATGGGACGGGACATTTTCATCCCGCCTAGACGGGATACTTGCCTAGTGTTTATATGGACAAAATACATTGCCGGGATGAAGCCATTTAAGTGCTTGAAGTCATATTTTTGTTGCAATAAAGGCATTTATGCATGCTCAAAAGGGAAAAAATGTAGCCGTAGCGCGTAGCCGGGATGAAGTGTTTATATGGGAATTTTTCGTCCCGGCTAGGCGGGATGAAGTGTTTATATGGGAATTTTTCATCTCGCTTAGGCGGGATCCCGGCATCTGTTGCCGAGATCCCATCTAGGCGGGATAAGTTGCGGGATCATATAAACACTCTTTAGAATTTGTATTGCGAGCGGGATCTCGGTAAGCATCCCGTCCCGCCTGGCCGGGATCATATAAACAGGCCCTTAGAGGCCTGGATGTGTATTTGTTCGAAAAACTTTTGAACAGCTAATTGACTAGTCTTTCACTGGTATAGATAGATAGATAGTTTATTATGATTTTACATAGCAGCCTACAAAAGCTGAATTGCATAAAATTTACAAAAATAATATGTACATATCACATACATACATACATACATACATACATACAACACACACACACACACACATACATACATACATACATACACACAGACACACACACATGCACATATCAATAAATATGTACTGTAAAACGTTGGTAGCGAAGTTCAGATCCGACCTCCACCACCGCTACCGAAAAGGAACAAAGCAGTAAATACACCAGCTGAATACACCTAAAATATATATAGACATAGGGAAAATATATAGCATAGGAAATATTATTCTTTTTGAATAATACCCATGTTACCAAATCCAGAGACCCAGAAACTCAGAAACCTATAAATACAGAATACTATTTTATTATAAGTCTTCTTTTTCATAGAAGACCACAGTCTATGACGACAACAGCTACCAGGCCGAAGCTCACTCAAATAAATGTATCTTACCAATAATTTACAATAATGTCTTTAGGCAACCTTGCTTTATCCATCTCAATTAATTATTAACAATACTAGGATGATACAGTATCTGCACATTTGCCTTGTCTGCAAACTGTATACTGTTGAAGATGTGGTATAGTCTGTTACCACAAGTCAGCTTTGTTGCTTTACATTTTTTCTATCAAAACAATTGACTTTACTGTACATCATTTTCTTGCTTCTACAGTAAAATACAGTATACAGTAACTGTACAAATGTAGCAACAAACTGCTTCGCAACAAAATACCATCCATTTAACCTACTCTATGTATATTTATTATGATCAGCCTGAGACTGTTATATACTGAATATGCATAATGCATGTGTAGAACAGATCACTTCAAGATACAATGCCACATCCTCTATTCACACTTAAATTGCTTATCAATGAAAAAGTTGTTCATGTCATTTAAAGGTCTAGTATCTCACAAATATAATGTTGAATTATTACTTTCAGAGTTACCAAAAGCATTGAACGTAAAAATCTAAAGGACATCAGTCATAAAGGTGCAATACTTGGGAAAGGTGTTTTTGGTGTTTGCAAAAAGATGTTGTATAGAGGAATAACTGTGGCTGTGAAGACATTTCAAGACAATGTCAAACTTGATCTGGTGAAATGGGAAGCAGATGTTCTGAATCTATTTGACCATCCAGGTACATATATACTGCATTTAATTGTTCAGATGAAATGCATACAAAAATATTCATACATTTATTTAGTACTTCATGACCATGTACTTGCATAAATTTGTGCAGTAAATGTTGTGGTGAGAGAAAGTGTTTTGAATAACGTGATACTATCAGCATGTACATTAAGTGGCTGAAGATAAAATTGAAGAATTATTTAATTCCCCTGTACATGTATTTTACGACCTGAATAATAAACAGTAATTCTTTCACATTTCAAACGACAGCTGATGCCCCTTTGTCAAGCAGTTACGAAGTTGACAAAGGGCCAGTTGGCTTGAAATGTTACCACATACTGTATATCGTACATAATAATATACATAAAGATATTACTTGACTGTGATTGGTTGATTTCAGTGCAGTTAATCCCAAACAGCAGTGCAATTTTCTGTAATCACAGTGCAATTTTCTGTAATCACAGTGCAATTTTTTGTAATCACAGTGCAATTTTCTGTAATCACAGTGCAAAAATCTGTAACACACTGATCTGATTGGTGGAAAAACATTGTGATGATTAAATCAACCAATCAGTTTAAAGCAATTTAGTTTAAAGAAGTAACGGTCACAGATTGCTTCAAAACAAAACAAACATGGCGCCGCGCTACACAAAGTAAAAGTTGCCTTCGCGTGGAAAATATGGCTTTTATCTTTATTTTTAAATGGAAAAGCATTTACCTTAAACAAGACTTACAAAAAATACACAGTTGAGTGGAATTTTCAAGCTGTTAGCGTTGTATAATGTGATAAAACAAAGCCAGGAAAACTTTGCCAGTGGAATGTTCGCTATAAACGCGTAAGTTAAAACTACAATTGTCTCGAATATTTTAATGTAAATTATTAATAAGTAATAGCATGGTTTCTCGTGAAATTTGGATAAACATGCACTCGTGAGTTTTTCAAAGACCTCAAATAGCACTCGTCCTTCGGACTCGTGCTATTTTGAGGTCTTTGAAAAACTCACTCGTGCATGTTATATCCAAATTGCACTCGAAACCATGCTATTACCTATACGTAAATACTGTATATCGTATAATCTAGCCATGTTTACTGTACGTCTGGTCAGGCTCACCTTGCCAACAATAGTCAATATCTGAGTTTCCGCTGGCATGACAACAAACATACAAACTATTGTTTATGTAGCTGCAGCATAAACAGAGATATTTTGTTATAAATTGTAAACAGGTTCAGTCTTCCAGGACCGGTGCTCATTGACATTTTTCAACTTTTTGGATCGACTTTAACTTTTACCTTTTTTATAATTAGTGAATTACTAATCTTTGTAAATGTAAAGCAATTCAATTCTTTTGCATTTCATTCATTCATTTTACACATGTGAATTTAGTTTTACATTTTCGTCTTATTTACAAACTATAGGCTTACCACTGGTGTTTGGTGCTTCTCTGGAAGTGAAACCCTATCAGCTGGTGTTACAATTTCATGGAATTGATGGTAAATGTGTAACATTTAATAAAGCAATACAATCAGGTGTTGGTGATCGACTTGATTGGGTTAGCATTTTTAAAGAAACTGCAGAGGCTCTTTATTTCATGCATAAGAAGGGGTTCTTGCACAATGATTTGAAATCTGATAACATAGTACTGTCCGAAGAAAACAATGCTATCCACCCTGTTATCATTGATTTTGGAAAGTGTCGTAGCCTGAGTAATCCTAAGAGATATTCTTTGACAGCTAAAGAGCAAAAGAAGTATAAAGAATATCACCGTCACATTGCACCTGAAGTAGTAAAAGGCACACATTCACAATCATTCAAATCAGATATATATTCCTATGGCTATCTCTTGAGTCAAATGTCCAAGTTAATTTCAAAAACATTTGATGATGTTATTGCTGACATTTCAATTGCATGTGTGCGCACTGACCCAGACCAGAGACCAACATTAACTGAAATAGTCATTAAGTTAAATTACAATGTATAGCAATTCTCATCTGCGAATCTAGCGTTTCGTTTGGGCAGCTATGATAGGCAGACCTCACTAATCAATATGTTTATGCACCTGCGAGCAAAATTTGAAAGTGGCAATCTGCCTGCAAATTGTTAGCAGTTGGCAATCTGCCCACAAATTTAAAGGCACAGTTCAGCTATTTGAATGATGGTATTTAAGGAGCATTACGACCATTTTAGTTTAAACAACTAATTAAGCATAATATCAGTGAACTCAATATTTTTAAATTTTTTAATGTGAAAAACATTGATAAACATTGGATTCCCCAAAGATATGTAGTGACTAACTTCTTGACAAAGGGCGCTCGAAAGTCGAAGAAATTACTTTCTTGTTTAGAGTTGCAATCCTACTCGATCTTTTTTTCAACAACTGATCTCACAAGATTATGTCAAACGGCAGCTGCTTTCCAGAAGAATTAAAAAGTCAACAAGTTGGGCAAATTTTAAACCAAAGTTGGGCATAAAATAGGGAGAAATAAACTGAATTAAAAAAGATCTACAGTACAGTATATAGCAATAATATGCAGTACTGTAGGTCTAATTACTGTATGAAACAAGTACAGTTCGTAGAGAAAACTCTGAAAATGCCAAACGTAGTCCCTTAAATGCACAAATTTCCATAAATGTGAACAAGAACATAGAACAATGACTTTTCAGAACAGATTCCAAACCATCTTTGTTTTTATTAACTATGGCTTAATTGGCAAATAGCAGAACAACCAATCAAAATATACAATGTAATGTTTAACGTTAATTTCAGTTGGTTTTGGGAAGCACTTATTGCTGCACAAACCATAGTTACAGGAAGTACTGTACAATATAACTCATTATCTATGTTTATGTCAAAGCTAGTTTATGCAAAAAAGTGTACCTTATTTGTCACGTGCCTATTGTATTTTCGCCATATCAACCAATGGCGGTCTTTAAACTAACCAATTGTTCAAACTAAGCCAAAACTTTATCTATTAGTTAGCTGGGCAATAATACAATACACACATGACAAATAAGGTACAGTACACATTCTTGTATAAATGTACTTCCATCGAGTTTCCAAACCTGGTCTTCTATGCACAAACGAAACACCTGAAACGCAGGGAATATACTTACAGAAATACATTTCTAAGTATTGGTGACGTAGCAATACTGTTGTTGTCATGTTCTGCACGTGCATAACGAGAGTGAATTCTTTGTACTGGCATAAAAGACGAAGGTCCTCCTTCGTGACACTTCCCTGACCAAATTTGTACAGGGTTGCCAATTTCGTCATAATTGTCCAGTTCTTTGCACCACTTCATACAGGCAAATGTATGTACTATGGGCTTTCCGTCTACGCTTATAGTGTGGTTGAAATAATATCTCACTATACCAGGGGTAAGAGAAAAAGTTTATTGTGCCGTCACTGGAATGCCAAGACGCGAGGACCATTGCTGATCGAATTGAGCGAGTTTCCATTTTCGAACCAAATGCTGTAGTGCCAATAGTGATGCGACCAAACTTTTCAATAAGTTGACTTAAGTCTTTTAAGGTACAGGTAATATCGCGGTACATCAGGTTATATACCGTTAACAACAGCGTTGCATCATCTTTGTCAAGGCAAGAAAGTTTATAGTTTGAGGGACGGAAAATACCGCATTCATTTCTCCAAACATTCCCACTTGGAATTGGTGATGCTACAGCCAGGTTGTGCAACGCGTATCTTTCAGTCCATGTGGAATTCTCCAGCCATTCATAACTTGTGTCATTGTTTTTCAGAGTGTACAGATGGAAAAGTTCATCTTTAAACAAGGTTGGAAGTGTTTTCCCATCAAAGAATCGAGAGAGTTGAAATCTTCTCATCAGTTGCAATTCAACTGATCTCTTGTTTGTTGGAATGCTTCCAAGAATACCATTATATCTTTCAAACGAAAAACACCAAAAGCTGAGAACTGGACCATGGTCGATTAAAATATCTTTTAGATGACAGTGAAGGTGCATATTTGGTTTAATAGCTTCTTTTCCATAAATAGTCTCGACTTCTGTGCAAAATTTCACAAACAGTCCATCAGCAATATGTAAATCAGCTTCAGAAATGACTCCTTGACAAATGTACTTGCACGCAAGTCCAAAAGACTGCCAACATTTAAATTCTTTGTCCGATAGAATATCCTTTAAACAAAATAAAGAGTATAGGAGAGTCCAATTTTTCCACTGTTCTGCAGTATACGACCCATGATTGGCAGAAATATTTGCAGGTAGACGACCCAAGTCATTTGGGATCTCCATTGTCTTAATCCGATCCTCTATCTTTTGTAGATCCTTGCTAGACATTCCGTTGTTAACCCAGATTTTAAACATTGCCTTGGCAGTTCCTAGAAATAGATTGTGCATGGGATCAATAGTGAAAAATCTAATGGCATCAAAATACTCCAAATCAAGAAGAATGCTGTAATGTGTGATACCATGATCCCGGCAAAAGTGATCTCGCCTTGATTGTGCCTTAATGCTTGCAATCTTTTTTGCTAACCGTCTGTGCTTATTATTTCTTCTAGGCTCCCATTTATCTCGATCAAATCCAGAATAATCCCTCTTTACACCAAAGCCACCAGGAAAAAACTTGAGACATCGAGAGCAGCCTCTTTGAGCCGAGTGACTTTTAAAACCACCTAACTTTCTAGCAGCAGGGATATCACACGAAACGGCTAACACAGCTGCCCTGAATGTCAATGGAAAACGACTGAGGGCAGAATTTAAGCGAATTCCTTTCCACAAGCATTGTAATTCCTTTACCGCTGGTTTCAAAAATGGATTCAGGTCTTTAGGTTCCTTGCTAAGCGAGGGTACTATACCAATAATGATCACATTCTCCCATTTGAATCTTTCTGCCCTTGGTAAGTTCAGAAGAACAAGATAGAAAACTCCAACAGAATAATCCTTCCTTCTCTTCATTGGCTGGAAGAAATCAAAATTCAGCATGAATCCATAGTTCCTGAATGAATTAAGAAAATCCTTTCCATCAAATGTCAAAAAATCCTTCCAGATCTTTCCATCATAAACATCGACCATTTTGTCGACAGGAATATCTCTGCTTCTCCATTCCTCGCATTTCTCAGCAAAGCCCTTTTTCCCCAGCAATTTCTCCAACGAGTTTATAATGCTATTAAAACAATAGTAATGGGTTGGGTAAAAACAACTTTCACCATTTGAAAGCTGAACTTTGTAAACAAGCTCTGCACCGCATTCAACCCTTTTTCCTCTGGAGTATCGTACACCAGAGCATTTTCTCCCTACTTTTCGGTTATTCACAGTTTTTAGGCATTCGTTGTATTCATAAAGGCTGTGGCATTTTGAGCAGACCACAAACTTGTCGAAGTTATCTCGGTCAAAATGGAAAAATTGCCTAAGCATATATAATGTTCCAGGAAATGCTGTCACAATCTGGGCTAAGGTATCAGATGGAACTATCACGCCTAGCAATTTAAACCAACTCGACAAGAATTTGAGAAGCCAAGCCATCCCGTTATCACTAATGTAACATGATGTTTGCCATATTAGGAGAAAATACAACAGCCAAAATAGAAGAGAGTGTACTATGTGTTTATCGTCTTCTTTGGCAGGCAGAGGTCTTGGGTTTTCTATATCATTTATTAAATCTTTGAGAACAAGATCATTCCAAACTTCTTCGCCACTGTCGTCGTCAGTTGCTGAATCGTTGTCCGTATGATCCTATGAAGAGCTTGGGTTCATACCAAATTCATTTGAATCATTCAAATGATTATCGTCAACAGAACAGGCCCCATCAGATTCCTGGAAAAGTGAAGGTAGATTAAGTAATTGGAACCCATCTATTGCAGTATTGCAAGTTGCATTTTGCATGTGCCAAACACATTATTAAAAACGATAGATAATGAGACATTTCAGCTGATTACATGCGAAATGCGATGTTTGAAACTGGTCCTAGAAATGTTGAAAGTGTGCTCCCGATGCACCAAGGGAGGAGTAGGGGAAGATAATTTTTTTACTTCTATTAACCATGGCTCATTCATTGGGTTCATGCTTTGGTGTTTCATGGTATGTAAACCATAATACTGTACGACATTGTCAGATAGTATTACATACAGTAGATAGTTAAGTTCACGTCAACATAAATTATGCTGGTTGGTTTGGAAACTTATTCATAGGTGCACCGGCACATTGTTTTGGTGGGGAGGGGGGAGATATTGTTTCCACAACTGAGACTGAAAATGCACAATGTTTGTATCACCCCCCCCCCTTACGCATGCACACACACAGGTAACACATATATGTTTGAGTTGTCTAATGAATGAATTGTGACTATTTTGTTGTGTTTGAAATTGTTGTGTTTGAATCTCTTGGATTGTCGGAATGGCATTTTCAGTGTTTTCTATACTAACTGTACTTGTTTCATAATTAGACCTATATTATTGCTATATAGGTTTTTTAATTCAATCTATTAACCCCGCTTATGTTATGCCCGACTTTGGTTTAAAATTTGTCCAACTTGTTGACTTTTCAATTTTTCTGGAAGGCAGTTGCCATCCTGCCACCCTCCCCCCAGTACACCTATGGACTCTTTTTCAAATCCTCAGATTTTGCAGACATTAATACAGCAGAACAAAGATTCAAATTGTATTATTATATATCAATAGTCGAATCGCATTTTTCTAGTGTTTTATTGGTTGAGAGCATATCACGTGAGAGTGACGAAATTAGGCTGTCTCCCTCGCAACAGGGAGATAATACGTTATCGACCGGCGAATAACAAAAAAAATCACATGCGCCATCACGTGAAGATGCGACCTTTGGACATGCCTAGTACGTAATTAAAACTTTCGCTTTAAGTAACTGCAGTGTAGCCAGTATTTAATATAACGTTTTAACAATAAAATATTTCATGTATTTACGTTCATTTGTTCTTTAATTTGTTGTTTCTTTGACTATTGATATATAATAAAACACTTATTTACTGAGACCTCGGGAAAGCAGTGTTTTTTGTGGACCCTCGACCGTCGACGGTCTCGGGTCCACAAAACACACTGTTTCCCTCGGTCTCAGTAAATAAGTGATAATTGTTCACCAATGAAAACAAATGCTTGCTATATTATATAATATACAGTATCAAAGACATTTTCAGCTGTATTACTTATCTTACCATAAAGTCTTCATTTGTATCCTTTGAAGCTGTATCTTCGTTCTGATTGGGACTACAGTTTTGAGGGTCAGCTTAAAGTGAATATTGATATTTTATTTAGTATATGCAGTACACTACAATCCTAGTTTAGTACTGTATTGTGGAAAACATTTTTAAAATTTTGCAACAACTCTATTTACAATTTTATATTTATCTAACATGCATATTAACCCATTGAGTGGCAGCACTCTCCACTTGATGAGTAAAATTGTCTGGCGTTAGACAGAATAAAATACTAAAGTAGGGTGCATCAGGGTGCATTGCCACTTAAAGGGTTAATGGTAGCAGGTGATCTCTGCAAGCTCAAATATATACGATATAATAATATTGCGGACATCAGCTGCATTGTTAACTATGATATAACTTCAAACAATAACAGTACCTGTGTATTTGAACTAAACTTTATACTAGTATATTTTTTTTATTATGTATGTATGTATGACTGCATGTATGTATAGTTAGTAGCAGTAGTGAATATATCAATCCCATGATATATCTTCCTTCCTAGTATAGATCTGCCCCCCCCCTGCATAGAGTGTAGCCAGTGGTGTATGGAATCTTCTATTTTTATGTGCTGGACAGCAATACAGGTATTGGTGTGCACAAAGACAGTCAATTACTTCAACTTCATTACTTTTAGCATTTTTGTGCGCCGATTTTTGCACCACTCAACACAACTGCCCACAAAACATACAAAGGTTTGGGCCTTTTTATCCATACCAGTGAAGGGGATGCCAATCACATGTACATATGAATACCTGCTTACACTTGCAATTTTTGTTGCGACAGTGCGACTTCAGAAGAGATTTTCTTCTCCTGATGGATGTGAACGAGTGAATTAGTTATGGATGTTATGACTACAAGAATCTGCATGTGAACATTCAGAAGTTATTCGTTTACATCCATCACAAGATGAAAAATTGAAAATGACCCTCATCTGCAATCACAGCAAAATTGCAAGTGTAAACGGAGCTTAGCTTATTACAGAACAATGTAAAGACTGTTGTTTGTTGATCACCGGGTTTTAAGATCTGTTGATCACCGGAATAGACACTGGTGTTGGAGTGAGTTTACAGCAGATCGAATGTCATGTTGAATCTCATTTTTGAATTTCGTGCGTACTTCACAGTGGTATTTATTATACTATTTAATAAATAACAAGTCTCACCTGTGGTTGTGTCTATATGCTGACGTCCCTCTGAGTCACTGTCTGTCGTATCACTCGATTCGGACTTCTGGCATGACTTTCGAAGGACCTCTTCACGGTTTCTCTTGTTTTCATGCCTGTTTCTTGTAGATCTTGACACCAGTTGATCACAGTGATGGCATAAAACCAGATTCCTTGACTCGTCCATTGACATTGTGAATCAATTAATCGAATCTTAACAAACCTCGATCTACACAGTACGTAGTTTCGGTTTCCGAATAACAAAAATAACTTTGTCTCAAAAATAACAAAATCCCCTTGTGTATGATTGGCTTGTATGTCTCGACTTTTACTGTAACTTTTAAAATCTGTATAAACATTCGCCGGCAGATATCGGAGTTTTCCGACAGTGCACGAACCTGACCATGAGCTATTTTAGGGTGTTTCCGGAGCTTTCCTGTTGTCCTGAAACTAACATTAAATCTCACAATTGCTTTTGTTATGGATTAGGGTTCACCTTAATTCATGAAAGCTAAACATTTATATTTAGTGAGACTTTCATGCGAAATTAAAGCACCGTAAAATCATAGTCCACCCATGCGCTAGAAATTGAAAATTAAAGGGCCTTAAAGACCCTTAAAGCTTGTTTAAACGATATTTTAAGGTCACCTACATTTAAGGCATGATTAAAAGCGCCTTAAAGTTTATCCTCAAACTTTAAGGAACTTTCAGTTATCCTTAAAGCCACTTAAATCTCAATTTTCGTCCTGTGCCTTGATATATTCTTTACTTCCCTTGCTCATTATTTGATCGGAAAACGGTGTCGTTTGTTCACAGAACACGACTAAATATCATCTCAACTATAACTCTGTTAGCACTTTTTCCATCCAGCCATCCGTCCAATCGATTTTGTAAAGTCGTTTCTTTTTGGATTTTTTATTAATTCGGTTAGGGTGAGAGTTATGGTTGAGGTTAGGGTTAGGGGTTAGAGTAGGGGTTTTTAGGGTTTGGCTTAGTTACACACCTCTTCTATCTTGCGAAAATGACGTCAGGGCAGTTTGCTGGATAGAAAATAGTGCTAAACCTACAGCTCATCGAAGCGCTATTGTCTACAGGAAATTCATGGAAAGACTTTCCAGTGTTTCCACAACGGATCATTCAAATTTCCTTGATTTTGCTTTAATTTTCCTTGAATTTCCTCGAAATGGGATGTAATTTCTTTGATTAACCGGGAATCAGCATTTATACTTGACAAATAAAATTGTCCAGCGTTACCAAGAAAAACTTTGTGCCATTCATTAATGTTACCCTTTGAGAGCCAGCTTTTTTCCGTTGAGCAGGGTGCGTATTAAAATGGCGGTGCAACGCGCTGATGTTGGGCTGATCGATGTGTAATGTGGACAAGGACTGGCACAAGCGTGCATTGCGGCAAAAGATGACAAGGAGCGTGATTATACTTTAAACACAGAAGTGAGATATAACAATGCTTTATTCCTCATAACTCACAATACACAGCTGATGAAGCCCAAGCACTAAAAGAAACGTCATAATTTAGCAACCTCGCGATGTAGCTTCACTGCTTAATTCAGTTCTTCATCATCTCACTTTGCACGATTGTGCTTTTTTTAGAGAGATTTTTTTCGGATATATTTCGCGTTAATATGGCTTCTGTGTCAGAAAACAACGAGAATGGGGAATCGCTAGTCCGTTATAAACTAGCTCCTCGAGAATGCTTGCGAGGAAATACTCAGGTGAATCAGCCACCGAAGAAAAATTTGCCTGACAAAAGCTCAGCATCGAGCTCGGCAAGTCATGGCGGGAAAAAAACGAAGACGAACTGCAAGCTCTTCTAAAACTTCCACATACGTAAAGCAATCAAATTATACTCGACCCCGCCATTTTAGACACAGTACGGAGTACGTTGCAAATTTGAGTTCACCTCACCGCCCATTCAATATCGAATCAGAGAACCCCTTCGGTTTTCGCATTTCGATCAGAAAAAATCGATACCGAAATTACCGCCCTCTTGGAAAAAGAAGGATGGACATGGTCAAGCCTATTTGCGAGCAGTTTCTAAGCAATTACATATATTTGGCACCGAAACGGGACGCGAAATTCCACCCAGTGATCAATCTAATATAAAGGAATTGAACGTATTCATTCAATACGACCATTTCAAAATGGAAAGCATTTACTACGCGATTTGCTTCAGCCTCAGAATTGGCTGGGAAAATCGATCCGATCGAAGGATGCATATTTCGTGATTCCAGTGTGGGAACATCACAAAAAGTACTTTCGGTTTATCTGGAAGGGCTCACTCCTACAATTTGCATGCCTCCCCTTCGGTTTGGCCACTACCCCAAGGCTGTTCCCCAAGATAATTAAACCTGTCGTTGCTCTTTTTCGTCGAGCTGGAATACGGCCGATATAATTAATCTGGACGATCCTTTGTTTATGAATCAGTCCAAGGAAGGCCAGAACCTGGATATGGCTAGGAGTGTTCCCCAAAACAATTTGAATCTAGAGGCTGACGTTAAGTTCTGTCAAAAATTTGCTTTACCCAACCACTCACAAAAACTGTTTTAAAACATGTACTGGGAATCATGGATATTCAATATATAACAACCTTAAATTTGCATTTGAGGCAGCAAAGAATATTAAGTTCCCCCACTCTAAATCTCTTTTGGGGAGATCGCTCGCCCCAATTTCACGTTCGTTTCCATTACCCCAGCACATAAGTGTTTTGTGAGGAAAATAGGAGGGTCTGGGGTCCTCCCCCAGAAATCGTTTATATTTTTGATGCTCAATTAATGACAGCATTTCTGGAATTCTCTGGAGTATCCACAAGGATAACAAGTAAATGAGAGGATTGTTATAATTAAGGCTATTTTTGTTAGTTTGGTGACTGCACATTTCTGTTTTAAGAACTGGACAAATGGGTTTAGAACGGCACATTTTATATAGAGCTGCACATTAAAATAAACCCTGGGTGCTAGGCCTTTCGTTGACAAAAATTACAAAAAGTTGAGGGCCAAGGATTGACCTTTGAGGTACGCCAGAAGTTATAACGCTAGAATCAGACAACGCATTTTGATAATGAACAGACTATCGGCGATCTGAAAGATAATTAATAAACCAGTTCAGTTAAGCTCCATTAATTCCGAGCGCTTCTAGTTTTGATAGTAGTTTTCGATGGTCAATCGTATCAAAGGCTTTGCTGAAATCGACAAACACTGCACCCGTTAGTCTCCAGCGTGGTCCATATTGCGCCTTATTGTATCCGCTAAACAAATAGAAGCAGTCTCCATCGAATGCTGCTTTCTAAACCGGAACTGATATGGGCTAAGTAGGTTATTACTAGTCATGATCAGAAACGAGTATAGTTGTGTATGTACTGCTCTCTCCGAAATTTTTGAGGCTATATAGGTAAGATTGGAATGGGACGATAATTATCAATTATCTCTGGTTTTCCAGACTTTAAAAGGGGAACGATACGTGCTGATTTCCATTCACTTGGAAATTGACCAACAGACAGAGACATGTTAAGAATTTTATTTAGTGGTCTTGTTGTAATATCAGCGGAATCTTTCATGAGCCTGGCAGGCATATTATCTAAACCTTTTGATTTGCTGTTTTAAATTGTGAAGGTAAGTTTGCGTAAATTGTTCGGTTATAGCTTGAAATTGGAAAATGGGCTTACTCTGTGACGTAAATGAAGTTAAATTGTGCAGGTGATTACATAAATTCCTTACTGCACTGGTAAACGACCGTCCTAACCGACGAATTGTTTCGAAAAAATAATATTTGAAACTTTCTTGAATAGTTTTGGTGTCGGATACCAAGTTTCAGTCCGCCATAATACAGGATGACCGATTTTTCATATTGAAAGGCAAGATTTGTACTCTTTCTCGACAACCTGTTTCGTATTACATTTCGATTCAATTTTTCTAATATAAATATCTCGGCGAGTATTTACCCCCCTTTTAAATAAATGCAACCATTGAAATCCTCACAATATAACCTTTCGAACGGGGGGTCAAGTGCCGTCAAACAATACACAAACCGAAACAATCATATATTTATACTCACCGCTTCGCCAAACATTCAAACGAGAAAATGAGAAATAGTTGAATATATTCTAAACTTTGGCGTCATTTCCTAAAAGGATATGTGTGGAAAATACTCTTCCTATTCAAGCGCTTTCGTGTAGAAAGTCTCGTATGTATACGCCGACTAGAAATATATATTTTGAATTTTTAAAGTATCGGGTTTTACTAGCAAGCGCTTGTATTACGTAATACTTGGCCAATAAGGAGCTCCCTTTAGCCGGGATGACGTCAAACTCACGCGTATGGGTGCACTTTGACCTGTAGAATCCATTTCTGGCATTTCCAGAGTCACGCGATACAAGCGTAGCATTGTTTTGACGGGTTTTCGTCGTATTTCCGGTTGGGATTAACGCATATTCGGAGCAGAAATACAAAATTCGGCACTAAATGTCGAACTTTAAAGATAGAAGCTTTAAAATAACACTATACGTGTTATTTTTAACTTCTTAATTCATCAAGAATATCAGAATGAGCATACGTCTCAATGGGACGAAGTTATATTCGGCGAAAGGTATGTTTATGTTTATAATTTGTCAGTAATATTGCGTAATTTGATCATATACGAGCTCGTTTGACAAACAAAGCTCATAAATCGCTATAATGTTGCCATTTATTCAAAAATCGATCTTGCAGCCTAGAGGCTGAATTACAACGGTTAAATTTTACAAAAGAAAAGTTTAAGTTAATTGTACTATCTATTACTGATTAAAAAATAAACAAACAAAAAATCCCCACCACCATTTTTGTTCCGATCGTCAGTTCTAAATAGGCGGTAGCCATCAATACTCAATTCGGAATCCAAAACATCAGAATCAGGCCATGTTTCAGATAATGTGAGGAAATGTATGTCATTATTGAAATCCGCAAACAGTACACGAAGTTCGCCGATTTTAGAAAGCAAACTTCTGATATTTTGATGAGCAAACTTCATTCCATTACGATTAAAAACAGATTTAAAGTTACCTTGAATTTTACAACAGTTATCAGAGTCAGAGAGGGAAATGTCGCTTAAGTTGATTTCATTAGGTCGCGAGCAAATGCAGCGAGTCATCTATGATTCAAACAAGGCACCGTTTGCATGAATGACTTTATAACAGTG